ACCGCTCTTCCGATCTAGTTTTACCGATGATTTTTCTGTTTTACCCGAAAACTTTATTTGCTCAAGTTTGACGCCTGAAGAAGCTATTCTAAGAATAGAGTTGGTTGACTGAATCTTTGCCGGGACAGAAGTTTAAAGATTACTGCGATGGGACACGCCGTATCACTTTGATATTGGATCCGTTTTCAAAATTTCTAAGTTTTGTGGAGAACAAGGTACCTTGAGTGCTGTAAAAAAAAGTAAAGGAAAAGTAAGCTAGCATTTAGACGGGTGTGTTCCTCATTCCAAATAATAATATTCGGCGACGGGGGGGGGGCACTTCGTACTTTTGATACTTCCCATCATCGCTGTTGAGCCAACAAGTGAAATCTTGTGAAGCCACTAAATGATGCCAGCCGAAGTTTAGAGACCACCTGTCAAATCCTGTAAAGCAGCGAAATAGCATACAAATGCCATTTACCATGGTGGGTGCAGCTTCATAAGGTTCCGGTTCACGGCTCCACCAGTGTGAGACCGTAAACCGGAACTAGTAAAGCAGCCAAAGTACAAACCCCCGTCGCCAAACTGCGCTTATATTAGTATTTCATTCATCCTAATTTTCGAGACGCTCCTCACGTTGCGGAGGCTCGACTCAGGGGGTGCATTCAGGTCCTCTGTGCTTTTTAAACGATTGCTTGTTGCTGCTGTGCAAATGTCACTTTTCCTGGGCGCTTCGCGGAATAACAGAGAGGAACTGGAAATTGTGGGAAAGGGCTATCCAAATCGCATAATGGCACCGCTGTTCCCGCATACAAGTAAAAAGTTCCATTTCACGAAAATTCAAGACTTGGTAGTAGAACCAGAAGTTGAGCAGTCCGCATATTATTTACGCACTGTAACACGCGCTGTTTTTTGCTTTAGCACTGTTATCTTTCGGCTGCCATAAGCTCTAATATAGTTAATAAGAATCGTTCGCAAAAAGAATAACGTGTGAAATTCGTAATTTTTCACAATAAAAGGCGTGAAATTTTCGATGTTCACAATAAAGAATGATAGAATGCATATAATTTCTTTAGTGATAATCGATATAATTGTATGCACAGTGTTGGCTGGAGCTTTATTCTTACTTTTCCGTCTTCGATAACGTAAAATAGCTCTAATAGAAAAGAAATTTTGCAACATTCATTTATGAGACAGTCATGGTATGCGAGGGAAGCGAGTTTCCATTTTTATCGCTCGTTTTTGGAACGTAATTCATGATGCGTTGTCCACTGTTTTCTCGCTTCTTTTCAGTTTTTTGCCCCTATTCAATTGTTTAGTTTAAATACTATGAGTGTGGCTGGTGGAAGCTTTTTTGTGAGCGCTGATCCAGGTATTGGGTTGGCCCATGTCGTGGCGTTTTTTAAACCCAAATGCTTGCAATGTTTTTGCTAAAGGTGAGGGATTTACTAGTGCACTCCAAACATTTCGAAAGATAACCACTTGCTCTATAAGAGGATATCTTCAATTGTAATATAAGTCGCTGTAAGTTGTTGAGGTTAATTTGTTTGTTAATAGATTCTACTTCTATTATCGTAACGGATAGCGCACTCGCCCGGAAAGCGTGAGGTGCGGGTTCGACTCCCGCCTGGGGTTCGACTTTTGCCCATAACTCAGCATTCTTGTGATAACATTCGGAACGCGAACTGCGGCGTAAAACAGCAGTTATCATAACAAAACAGCTTCAAAAATCTACTCCCATTATATTTCAAAAGCTTAATTTGAAGAGGATCAAATACCCGATGAAGGGATTCTGCAGGCTGTTGTTTCTCAAGAACGCTCCCTGTTCTTGATCTCACTCATTAAAAGTCTTTGATCTTTTGAAATTTGAGCGCCAGAGTAATTCAAAAATGTGGTTTTTTTTCTTCAATAATTGTTGATGAGGACTCAATATATAATTTTATTGGTGAGCTTTCGCTGCGTAGCAGCTTCTTCAGACCTACAATAAAACGAGCATACAGTACTACAAAACCTTACAACAATTAAGTTGTCCAAGAGTAACCAGACTGTATTCCCTTCTTGACAATGGAGTTGCTTAGGTTGTAATGTTGTTGATTGTTGTAATGTTTTGTAGTACTGTATGCTCGTTTTATTGTAGGTCTGAAGAAGCTGCTACGCAGCGAAAGCTCACCAATAAAAATTTATATTGAGTCCTCATCAACCATTGTTGAAGAAAAAGACATTATAACATGAGGCTCAGGGTTAGCTCAATTCTTCATTATCAAAAATGTGGTGTTAGAAAGTTATTTCTCCCGGTCAACATTTTGATGATGTGAAAATTGATAAAAAACCAAGAGGGAATAGATCGCTGAACAACTATTCACACGAAATTTCATACAGAAAAAAACGCCACCACTTATGGGTCAATCCAATGATTGCATGCGATGATAGCTCATAGCTCTGGCTTAGAAATTACTAATTCCTTACAATGAATCTTTTTAATAGCTTAATTTGACTATATCTCACCATTGTTTTCCCTAACTAGACGCGAAGTCGTGGTGCTCCCTCAACTGGACCGACTCCTGCCAAGAAGAGGAAATTGGATGATGGAAAGGTACTTTCTGATAATAAGGACGCATGAGACGTTTGGTTTTGGAAATCTCCTTAGGTCGAAACATAGATGGTATATTTTCAAACTTCTATAGTCTCGGTTATGGTGAAGATTTGTGCCATTTGCACGAGTATGGGCCATATTTCAATGGTTCATGAGTTACCTCATTTTAGTACTTTTGCGGAAATCTTATGAAATGATCTATCGTTTTCCTGCCGCTGTGTTCACAAAGTAAATCACTTGTTTTGCGTTTCTAACTGTTGATTCCTAGTCATCTGGTGAAGAATCAGTTGTACTTGCCAGTTTGTTGCTCAGGCTTCACCTTTAGAACCATTTCAGCATTTTTGTTACGGGGTGGATCTAGTTAAGCATGTCTGGTTTTGTTCACAGTTGGTTTCTGTGTGCTTGTTCGAAGGCACTTGTAGTTTTGTTCGCTGAGGATGAAATGGCTTGTCAGAAAGGACGCTGTGCCAAACCTGTTCTGCACCTGTTTCTGAAGTAGGTTAGCGATAGCAAATGATTGAAAACGACTGATACGAACAATATGGTATAGTCTTGTCGATTGGTCGCTCCAACAACTGGTGAAAAACTGGTTTGGCGTCAAGCCAAACACTTAGAGCCTGGCACGGTCCTTCATCCGCAGTGAACAAGGCTGTTATCACTTCATTTTATCTTCAGTTGGAAGTATCTGTTTAGTTGTATCATGTTCTTTTCTTAATTGAATGTTTCCATGTATTGATCGTTTGTGACAAGAGCGTGCATTTTTTCAGTTGTGTTTGTTTGAATAATAAATAGCTTTCCTCTTCACATTAGTGAAGCGTTTTTCCTGCAGTCGCATCTATGCGAATTACATGCTTCCATGATTTTTCCACCTCAGCTTTCACTTCTCCATTGTTCCTGACTGTCGCGATTTCAGACAGAACCTTCAACCTCACGCGGTTGTACTTCCATGTCCCACAGTTCTCAAGCAGTTGTTGGCGACAGAGGAGAGATGGGATCTCGGGCTCAGCTTGGAAATTATGATGGCAACTGGCAGCGATCCTTTCCTGTACATTATTCGTTTACAGTATTGTAGATAGTCCTATTTTTGCGCATGAAAGGCTCATGTTTAGGAATGGGTGGAGCTAATCGAGGGCGATATACTGTCAGGCCAGACGAATCCACGTCGAGCACGAAATCTCAGCGATATTTACCAGTCGGCTCATCCTGAGCAAGCGAGAAGGGTAAACTTCGGTTTTTGTTCTATGAATTCAGTACTTGTTTGAGCGGTGTTGTGAATGTTCATAGTAAATATAAGTATAGAAAAGTTTCAGCAAGTAGTGGCAGAGAACGCTTCTGAAGAAAATGTATTGTCGTCTGCATTGCGGGAAACGGTGGATAATGTTTTCCACGGCAATGTTCCGGTGAGAAGCAGCTTGCATGTTTTAGATACATTACCCTATTTCTTGACTTTGAAGGCATATGGCCTGATAATTTTATACTCAGTCCCAAATGCTAACAGGGTGCTATATACTGGGGAAAATGGCGAAAAGACGAAATGAAACGGTAAAAAACCTGCGGAAAAAAAACCAGAGTATCCTTCGTTCTTAATGACTCAAAAAGCGAATTCGGACGAGTTTCCCGTAGGCATCTTGCCAATAACCGCTACGGTAGGACGGCTGCGTATGTGTACTCATATATCCATGCAGCACCGCGGCCGCTTCATACCAATCCCTTCGCTTCATATTTTACTTTGCAAATGAAGCAATACGAGCATCAGGTACGGTCGTCCATTTGTGGGCGGGCGGGCGCGGTGGGCGTCCGGGTCGGTATGTTGCAGCTTGATAGAGCCTTATAGGAGTCCTCCCTTGGAAAAGGCGCTACGCAGTGCTTGCTGAGGGCTCGGAATTCCGTGCTGCCAGGTGTATTGATCCTACTCGTCTTAGGGACTTATCCTGCCAACTGCTTAGGGCTCCCCTCCTCTCAAACAGCCAAATAATTTTTTTAGCTTTCCTTTCCGTTAGTTCATATCTGTTTTGAACTAAAAGAGTTTGATACAAATTAGAAGATCAAAATATACAAAAAAGACTGAAGAAGTTGCCGCTGTATTCACTGTCCCGTGCGGCGCCACGACTATGCAAATCAATGCGCCTTTTACCCAGAAAAAGGCGTTGCGTTCAAAACACTAGCGTGCGCTGGTCTAGTACATACACATTCGTTGTCACTCACAAGGGAAGGATACCAACTCGTCCTGGCCATTCAGAATGAGATGTATACTCCTAGAAGCGTCTTCGGACGCTGATATCAGATCTGACTTCCAAATCTGCTAAACGATTCTGGGTGAGAAGTTACGGACCTTTTTGCTTGCTTTTATGCTAAACACTTGGGAAGTAGTTTTAGCGTACCTGTCCGACCACCAAGACCCCTCCCTGCTCTTTATTGAGCCCCACAAACGATTTTCGTGGAAAATTACACTTTACCTAACTCGTTCAAGCAAGGGATCTAATATTCAACAGTTCACCATCTCGTAGGATGACAACGTGTGTGGCCAACGAAAGATTTCGAAATCTCTGGTAGCTCTATTCACCCACGCTCACAACGTCAGCCAACAGCTCTACGACCGTGCCTACCATAACTGGAGAAATGTTCGACCAGGGCACATCATTGGTTGGGGATTTTAGCTGGTCTGTACGACCCCACCCCCCCCCCCCTTTTTTTGGGCTGTCAAGCGGGGGGGGGTATATATTACGCATGAAACAGGAAAATCACAAAAAGTCAACCACCGCTCCTACAACGCCAAAACGTAAATACGACCTCCCCTCCCAACAATGATCCCCCCCCCCATACAACGTCCGTGAAGAAAAATCAACT